TTTGTTTCAATTTAGATTGAATTATATTTTTGTGTAAAGCACAAACACGAAGAAAAAAGCAATAGAAAAATAGTAAAAACAATTTTACATAAAGAAAGTTTTGTACAGAAGGAAATACCCAAACAATCAGGAACAGAAAACAGAAGACAAATAAAACAAAAGAAAAATATAACACCAAAAATTACCCTCACGATACCCCTCCTTCAGCAGCTTGTTGTTTTCGTTTTTTCAGATTTGCTTGTGACCGACGATTTCTTTTCTTCTTTTTGTTGACTGAATAATGTTTTTTCTTCCCAGGTTCTTGTTGTTCTGAATGACATGGTGGTGAATGTGGTCGTTTCTTATTAATTTCACTTTTTGAGCCTATAAAGAAAGAAGCAAAAATGTACAAAAGAAAAAAAGGAAATGTATCTTTACTTTGTTTTTCAGCTAATAAACTTTTCTCGGATAAATTACCAGAAGACCAATGCGTACCTGTCATGTCAGGCGACAGATCTCGTTGAGAATCAATCAAACCTAAAGTGACAGGTGCGGCGATACCTGCCAGGTCAGGCGACAGACCTCGCTGAGAATCAATCAAACCTAAAGTGACAGGCGCGGCGATACCTGTCAAGTCAGGCGACAGACCTCGTTGAGAATCAATCAAACCTAAACTGACAGGCGTGGATGGTCGACGTTGCACGGCGATTGATCTTGCATTTGTTAATTTTTTTGGTTCATAACTGGGAATTACTGGTAAATTATTGTCAGATGGATCATTAATCCATTGAAGTATAATTTCATTTATCCCATGCAATTTTTCTTGGACTAATTCTGGTAGACGATTATAATAAAAAAGGGTGGCAGCAATATCTCTAAAAAAAGCATAAAGTTATTAAGTAAATACACAAAAAAACTTCTTACGTTGGCAAAATTTCTGCTATTTGTAATAATGTATTGTTTGGTAATGTATACCTAAATACAAAGAAGCAGAATATGAAACAAAATGTGTTGCTTATCGCAGTTTCAGGTCTTCACTTACCCCGTTGATTCATCTTCTTCCCGAGCTATTCGATCTCTCCAGTAATATAAAAATTTCAATGTAGCCACTTGTCTTCCGTTAAATGTTTTACCACGATAAATTGTTTGATAACCATTCGGATCAAATACCGGTTGTTTATAGTACTAAAAAGACGTATAAATAACGAGTAAAATCAAGTTTTCAGTATAATTGCAACGAACCGTACTTGGCAAACGTTTTTTGATTTTTCATAAACTTGTTGTAATAATTTTGGTTTCATATCCAACAATTTATTACGGAGAATATCCGAAATGTATAGAAGATAATGTGTATCTTCACGTGCATAACGAATATATCTCGTGGTAACGGTCTGAGCATAAACAAGAGCGAACTGATAGATAGATATAGGCATGCAACGGTTATTTTATCGAGGCTCTTTGTCGCAGTAGTTTTAAAAATCGGAGAAACCTTTTAAAATTTTTTCGAGTCGACAGTTTTGTGCACAAATGTTTGTTCTACAAAATAAGACATTGCAGACTTTCTCACGGTGGTTCGTCGATGAGATATGAATTTTTTTCTCTAAGATACGACCGGTTACCGCTCAGGTTTTCAGGTAAAAAATTCATATCTCGTCGACGAACCATCGTAAGAAAGTCTGCAATGTCTTATTTTGTAGAACAAACATTTGTGCACAAAACTGTCGACTCGAAAAAATTTTAAAAGGTTTCTCCGATTTTTAAAACTACTGCGACAAAGAGCCCCGATAAAATAACCGTTGCATGTATAGATAGATAGAATAGAAATTAAAAAGTAATTTACAATACCTTATTCTCCAATCGGCTAGTTGGTATTGTTTATTTGCTACGATATGACAGTATTCTTTTAATAAATAAGCTAATGACAACGACGTTAAATTTAATGCTTCCGCCGCATGGAATGTGTCAAACATATTTATAATATATATACCAAAATCATTGTATAGCCATTCAATATCTGATGTACCAGCATGGAATACCTAAAAATAACACAATTATAGATACTT